TGAGGGTGAGGTTAGGTGTAGGGTCGCCTAGGTTAGGGTGTGAGGGTTAGGGTACTAGGGGTTAAGGGTCTCAGGGTTTAGGGTCACAATTTGCACAAAGACTGAATGCACATAAAAACAGGAGTTGGCGGCACGTGATTGTAATTCACCAATGGCAGCGTTCGTTAGAGCCCTATGTTCTTGATTGACCTAGGGAAAAAAATCACGCGTCCTGCCTCATTGTGCAAGAATAAAATGGCGTCTCGGTCCATTTACGGGACAGATGCCACTTCATTTCAGTTAAAATAACTAGAGTATTCATGCATAGACAGTGTCAAAGCCATTTCTGACGCAACGAGCACGAGCAATAATATATTTTCTGTTGTTGCTAAATACTAATATAATAATGCATCACGCAAAATTACACCATTCATTATTTGTGAAGTACGTTATCTTAATACCGGGAGAATGTGGCGGCACTGGGAAACCCTTTCGTCAATATTAAAGTCGAATTTTATTAAAATTATTCCAACATTTTCCTATACGTGTTTCACACACCTTGGTTAGTTGCTACTGCGTGATTTAATGTCTAATACTAGGGAAGCAAGTCAAAATATAGTTCTCCGAAGCAGCTGCGTAACTATATATAAGCTTTTATCTACAGCACTCAGGAAGCGTTTACTTTTTTGGCACTACATCGCAGCAGGTTGGGAGTAAGCGGGCGCATGGTTGCATGGATGGATGGCTCTCATCGCTTCTGTATTGAAGTCGCATCTGGCTTTCTGCCCTCTTCTGCATAGAAAGGAACAATGCACCGATGCATTCATACATACATACATACATACATACATACATACATACATACATACATACATACATACATACATACATACATACATACATACATACATACATACATACATAGATAGATAGATAGATAGATACATACATACATACATACATACATACATACATACATACATACATAGATTGCTGTTAATCGCGGAACACAAAGGTAACCAGCTCATCTTAGCAGACAACCGAGAAATTGCATTGTAGCAGGGCCACCACCATACCAGCTTTCTAACTTACCAGCCGTGAGTCGGTGCTAGTATCGCTATTCTGTCTTTAAATCTCATTAAATAAGGTCTCTGCATGTTACCACGTAGAGTGTTATATTTATAAAAGAAATGGTTCAAAACAACGATGGCAGCAATTTCTACAGAGAAGATAAGAAATGTCGTGTATTTATAATCGCACATTTGCCATGTTCGGATTTTGCATCCATGTCTCGATAAGTAGCTGATTCCCTTTTACGACATTAGATGTGATATGATACACTACACATACCACTCTCCAAATCACTTTACCTTGTACAGACTGCAAATTTTATATGGTATCAAACCGGTGCGCGCCAGTCGCGCGTCAAGTTTTTGCAGTGTGTACACGCTATCCCGCTCCAAATACGCGTTGGTTCGCACCAATTTGGCCCTCGAAAATGAAGGAGGGCCAGGCATAAGTTATCCCGCACCAGGCTGTGTCTGTACGCAACAACCCGGGATAACCTAGCCGGACCAAGATAGCCCGCTTGTGTGACGTGTGTCTGTACGCAACACGCCCGCCAAAAACCTGGCGCTAAATCGTAATACGCATGCGCATAGCATTATTTAGGTCACTTTATTGTACAGTTGCTGTCTGCGGGGTGACGTACCGAGCTGAACTGAGAACTGATGACTCATTTGATGTAGGATCAAATTTGCAGTGAGTACGCTACAATTTAACGCGCGCTTAACCCGCACCAGTTTAATGTGGATTCAAATTTTGCAGTCTGTACGGGGTATTTGTCTACCTGAAATTTCGCAATAGGGGGCATTTGCTTTTTTCCCCGATTGCGCTGTTGCTACGCTCTACGCGGGTGTATTACCTAAACGGTCTACGGGTCGATATTTTCAATGACAATCAATTTGACCTAAAAGATGGCCATTAAATTAAAAGCTTTACCGTTATAAATTCATGCGAGATTACGCTATGCACATATAACTATAATCTTGCGTATAGTATCACGGTTTTCAAAAATGTTTTGATGTGTGTATTTACTGGATTGCATAGGAGGAATTCTACTTTTACTAGTCGTAAAAATGCGAATTTGTTATACAATTTGCAATAAAAATCAGGTAATTTCGAAAACTTGACTCTTGGCTCGCTATTCAAGTGTCCTTGCATTTTTACACCCAGATTTGTCTGGTCATCGATTGCTGCTTCTGTTCAACGATAACAAAATAAATGTTACCGTGTGTGAAATTTTGCATAACCCATGACATAAATAACATATCATATGCCAAACAAATGAGGCCACCCGGGTGTGAAACGTTGTTCCGATTTTTACGCCCCACGTATAGATACGCAGTCGAATTTATGCATTCAAATTTAAGAACAAACGTCTGGTGAATAATTTGCATATAAGAAATTTAAATTTATAATATACAAGTAGCATACAAGGTTTAACAGCTAATTATGTCTGGTAATCTAAAAAAATAAATTATTTAGACTTATAAATGTTTATTAATATTACATAGCACAAATGCACAAACACGATCTATCTATCTATCTATCTATCTCTCTCTCTCTCTCTCTCTCTCTCTCTCTCTCTCTCTCTCTCTCTCTCTCTCTCATCTCTCTCCTCTCTCTCCTCCTCTCTCCTCTTCCTCCTCTTCTATATCTTTCTCCCTCTCTCTTTCTCCGGCTCTCTTCTCTTTATTAATATAATATCTAGCGGATATCCCGGCGTGTTGGTCCCCCGGGAAATCAGGTACGTACTCCAGTTGGTGACCGCTTGTTGCAAAGTAAAATACCAACAAATCTAACTATCATCTTATCCATGCATCCATCCATCCTTCCGATTTCCATTCCATGCCATTC